CCCTGCCCTCCACTCCCCTTCTCACATAAGCATTACGGATCTCCATGACCATCAGCCGGATGTCCTGGTACTCTGCCTCATCCAGCTCGTGCACCAGCTGCCGATAATCACCCTGCAGAAACCCAGCGTTAGTCCCGACTTGCAACATGTCTTCCCCAGCTTAACCTGACCTGGGCCTCACCTACCACGTGGGGCTGTTTGGCTGCTTTGGCCACTGCGTCACCCCTCTCTGAGAAGTACCTGTGGGAAGCGGAAGCAGTGTGCGTGGAGTAGGAAAGAAAGGAGGGAGCCCAGGCCTATCCCCAAAGGCAGAGTGAGCTGGGGGTGTGGTGGCCAGGCAACTCACTTAGAGATTTGAGTGTGGAAGCCCTCCAGCTTGGTGTGAAGGCTGGTCATCAGCTCAAACACCTTCTCCTGGGAAAGAAAGGGGTGAGAAGGAAGCACGGGCTACCTGGGAGGGCTGTGTAGGATTGAGGGGCAGGGCTCTTACCTGGACAGCCACCCCAAAGTTATTCCCATCCTCTATCCGAGGTATCTGTAGTTGCAGCCAGGTAGTGACCTTGGAGCAAAGGAAGGTATCGGGTTTATTACCACCTCCCTTCCTTCCCCTCCATATACACATCCCAAGCCCCAGGTTTCTATTCTTCCCTTGTCTGCCTATAGTGGATGGAGGAGTGCCAGGTCCATGCTGAGCCCAAGGCTGGCTCACTTGCTCTGCCCTTTCCGATGTGCCATTGTCCTAATTGGCTGGGACCAAGAGGACAATGCTGAAGCACGGATGAAACAGAACTCACCAGATTGAGTTGCTCAGTGACATCCTTGATCTCAGGCTTTAGGCGCTGCAGGAGGACCACAATCTTCTCATTGCAGTTGACTGGGCCACAGGGAGGACCTAGAGTGCAATGGGTCAGTTAATAACCGAGCTTCCGAGGGCTAGAAAGCCGAGTGTAGAATGCAAGCTGGAAGTTGGGAGACACAAGCCTGTCTCTGCCTGGGTTCAGGTACCTTTTTCTTCATCTTCCCCCTTCTTCTTCTCATCCTTCTCTTCCTTCTGTGGGGAGGAAGACAGAACTGAGGCTGGGTTTTCTCTATGGTTGGCCCACCTCCCGGGTCTCCCAGCTTGCCTCCTGTTGTTTCTTCCGCTCCTCCTTCTCTTTCTCCTTGACTGGATCAGGTATGGGGATGTCCAGTGGAGCCTTCAGACTGCTCAGGTTGGCTTCATTGAGATCTGGCTCCTAGAGGTAGAGCTGGAGATGAGGGTGTTCCTCTTATCACATCACACCCCCATCCCAGGCCCCTCCTGAGTCCTTGCAGGACCCTCTACCTTTAAGAATGCATCCAGCTCTGCGATCTTCTTGGGAAAATAGCTCCCAAGCAGGTTTTCTGTCTGTATGAGGTGGTGGAGGAGGATGGGGTCATAATCAAATGCCTTTTCCTAGTGAAGTAAGGGCTCACACCGCCCAACAAGGAAGGGCGTAGCAGTAGCACTGGACAGGGTTGCCGATGACTGTAGGTCTTACCTTGCTACACAGGTCTTTGCGGAACACATCCACCTGTAGGGTACAGGCAACCCTTCAGAAACCTAGCTTTAGGGCCACTTCATTTGAGGGCAGTTCCCTTTTGGGAATAGAGGAGTGGATCCAGCTAAGGCCACTCCTGAAGAGAGATGGGTCCCTCCCTGTATAGGGTGGTCTGAGGTGGCGTGGCAGTTTTCAGCACACCTCAATCTGGGGAGAGTTCAGTGGATCCCCGTGGGGGCTGGATTTGGGGAGAACATCGCTTGGGTCACCAGAGTTGTGTAAGGAGAGATAAGAAAGCCCTCTGACCGGGCGTGGTACACCATGCACGCCTTAAACACCAGCACTTGAGAGGTAAAGTCAGGTGGGTCTCTGATTTCGATCGAGTCCAGCCTGATCTACATAAAGAGTTCCGGGGCTACATAATAAAGAGACCCTGTCTCGAACAAAACAAAACCCTAAGCCAGTGGGCAGAGGCAGGGAGCAGGCTGTGTCCTTCCTGAACTGAGTCAAAGATCTCGAAGTGGCTGGGGCAAGTCCCTCTCACGGGCTCTGCGTGTAGCCTGGGCCCCAAGCCAGGAGACTTCACACTAGCTCTCGGCTTCATTTCACCCCACTGGACCACAGCCGCCTCACCTACTCCCAGGGGATCAGGTGCGCCTGGCTGCAGGCTAGTAAGCAGACCCCCTACCCAGATGTGGGGGCTTGGGGCTGATCCCCGGAACCCTGGTCCGCTCCGAGCCACGCCTCTCTAATGCCTCTCATCCAGACTCGAACCCGCAGCACTTACCTTGGCTTGGGCTTCAGGATGGACCCTCAGTGTGGCCATGGTCTGAGAGGGCGGGGGGCTAAGCGACGCACGAGGAGTCTGGAGTGGGCAGCGAGAAGGGAAAGCGAAAGCAGAGCTCGAAACCTGCACAGCCTTCCTTGGCTTGGGGAGCGGAGGGACTGGAGGAGGCGGGGACAGCCTACTGAGGGGCGGGGGCTCCTCCTGCAGCCCGAGTATTGCTTCCGCCCAGCACACCGGGCTCTCCCCTCTGCGCCCAGGCCCGCCTCCCAGAGCCCGCCTGCCAACGCCAGAACCTCTGCCCCTTCCCACCCCCGCCTTCCATTTCCGGTCGCCCCCTACTACTCCTGCTAGGGCCAGGGAAATAAAGCCTTACTTGGGGGTTTTAAATCTTCTCTGATTTGGAGCAAGACCTGGTCTCTTCTCGCCTTGCCGGAATGGTCCCGATTTCACCTGCATACTCCTGCTCACCAAACGACCACGCTGAGACACTGGCACTATCCTTATCCGCACAAAACCATTGTGGCACACTCTATTACCCTATGAACCATCCCCCTCCCCCCCCCCCGACAGCTGGGAGTCAGGTCTCTATGATAAAATCCAAACCCCTTTCTTTCACAATCAGCTGTCCCCTTCAAGTTGACGGTCTGTTGCTTTCCACACTCACTCATTACACAAGCAAATACTATGTAGGTAGTGTTTATTCCAGGTCAAAGGCTAAACCCTTGGGAAATCTACAACACTCTTCCCTCAATGTCCTCACTCATTTCGGATGTCAGTTTTTCAGAGAGAATTTTCCACCGTCATCTTTCAGAAAGTACCTTCCCTGCCCAGTTTATTACAAGCCGTCCTGTTTCAGTACCTCCGCAGCACCCGCGACTTTGACATTAACTATTTTTGTTTGTTTTTGTTTTTGAGAGACGATAATATAGTGGTTTGAACAGGGTCAGGCAAGCTTTTTCTGTAAGGGGTTGGTGATGGCTACTTAGGTTTGGGAAGTGTTACCATGTCTGTAGCCGCTCAACTCTGGTACTGCAAGAGGCAAGCAGCCCATGAAATGAATTAGTGTGGGTGCGTTTCAATTAAACTTAACTTATGAACCCGAGATTTTGAGTTACGTGTAATTTCCACACGTCGCTTTTTTTCCAACTTTTTTTTTTTTAAATGTTGAACAAAAAGCCAGGCTTGGAGCCAGGAGGTGGTGGCACAGGTCTTTGATCCCAGCATTCTGGAAGCAGAGGCAGGTGAATCTCTAAGTTGGAGGCCAGCCTGGTCTACAGAACGAGTCCTAGGACAGCCAGGGTTACACAGAGACACCCTGTCTCAAAAAACAAAACAAAACAAAAAACAACAACAAAAAAAAAATGGTGTGTGGTGGGAGGTGGCTCAGTGGTTAAGAGAACTGGCTGCTCTTCCAGAGTGCTTCTGATCAATCCTCGGCAGTCACACGATAGCTCACAATTGCCTGTAACTCCAGTTCTCGAGGATCCAATGCCTTTTCTGACCTCCAAGGTATGTTCACACACACATACAGTAAAAACACCTATGCACATAAAAAAAAAATCACAATAGGAACACTACTGAACTTATCTCCCTGGGATGTTTGGGGGTTAAAATTGTGTGCGTATGTACATGAGAGTGCATGCACACACATGAGTCCATGGAAGCCAGAGGTGGATGGTGTGTCTCCCTCGCCCCTCCCACGTCTCACTTATTGAAAAAAGGCTCTCATACCAAACCTGAAGCTCACCCCTAAGCTACACTAGCTGGTTAGCAAGCTCCAGGAATTTTCCTGCTTCTGCCTCTGTTGCACTGGGATGACAGATGCGTCCTGCCATACCCAGCGTTTTTTTTTAAATATTTATTTATTATGTATACAATATTCTGTCTGTGTGCATGTCTGTAGGCCAGAAGAGGGCACCAGACCTCTTTAGAGATGGTTGTGAGCCACCATGTGGTGGCCGGGAATTGAACTCAGGACCTTTAGAAAATCAGGTGATGCTCTTAACCATTGAGCCATCTCTCCAGCCCCCCATGCCCAGCTTTTTATCTGGGCTCTGGATAACCAAATGCTCGTCCTTAGGCTCTCACAGCAAGCACCGTACCCGCCAAACCATTCCCCCCAGCCTCTAAATGTATTCATTTATATAAATAATATATACACTCTTAGAACAGTGCCTGACGTGCAAGCACCAGCAAGCATTTGCTACTTGTGTGTTTCTCTTTTGCTTTCTCCAGAGCTGATCTGCTTCCGAGCAGCAGAAGCCTTGTTTGTCTTGTTCACACGGCACAGAACTATGCCTGGTTTAACACACCTTTGTGAAATGAATGTGTGCCATCCTTATGAGACAGAGGTAGGAAAGGTCCTGGCATGAGCTGCCTAGAGAGGCAGGCTCCTAAGGAAATCAGGAGTCTGTGACGGAGGCAGGAAAAAAACGAAGTAACCAGGTTGGAGACAAAGCATCTGCCAGTGGAAAGCTTATAAACACACCTAAGGGCAATTACTGGCCTCCGTAGAACCATGACTTGACATCACAGCTCCAGAAAGCTGGAAGCCGAGTTCAAGAAAACACATTCAAGGTCAACGACATTCAGGGAATGATGAGGAGGGACTCGAGCAAGCGTCTATCAGACTATTCTCTTACCCCTCCCACCCTCTTAGGCCTGACAAGAACAGGAAGAGCCAGAGCCAGGCCTGGTATGCTTTTATTTCTTTCAGTTATGTTTGCGGATTGAGCGGGATCGGGGGAAGAGCCCATGGCCTGGGATCCCAGGAGACCAGGGCTGGTGGTACCAGCTACCATAGGTAAGGTACCAGGCAAATGTGCCTACTGCTGCACCCACCACCTTGTGGGTGTATTGATGGAAGTAGATGACGGTGCAGAGCAGCAAGAAGTTCCAGAGGCCCAGCAATAGCACATTGAGTAGGAAAACAAGGCGCAGGGGGGCCCCAGCTGGTAGCCCGTGGGCCAGGTACTTGGCAAATACAGCGGCTTCCTCAGCCATGAGGAGGCAGCAGAAGGTGAGCAGGAAGGTGTGGGAGGAGACAGTGTAGCCTCGCCACTGGTGGCCGGCTGCCAGGCAACTCCTGCGGTCAGGCAACTCATGCAGCAGTAGGCCCTGGGGCAGAGGCTCGAAGCAGGAACCGGTCAGGTCCTCGATGAGTAGAAAGGCCCGGCCGGCCCCCCGCCAGACAGCTGCCCCCACCACCAGTCGGCTCAGGTGCCTGGCCGTCACTGCCACGCGTCGTGTAGCCAGGAACACCACCAGCAACACAAAGCCCCCCAAGAAGGTACATGTCCAGCCCCATGCTGAATTCACAAACTTTCTGTGGGCAGAAAGAGGGAAAGCATCTGATGAGCCCCAGTCCCATCTCCCTACCTTGATCTGTGTTCCACACCCCATCACTAGTTCTCTTTCCAACCCCCACCATTTCCACATTGCCCGGCTCCTTAGAGGACCACTGGGCATTCTAGGGTCCACATTTCCTCTCAGTTCTTTACTTCCCTTGCACCCCCAGGCTCTGTTCCTCTCCTCCCTCCTCTTCTCCCCCGACCTTCTCAACCTCCTAGCCTATTTTTAGTGTTCCGACTGGCAACAGAACAGAGAGGCCTGGAGAAGGAAGCCGGGATCCGAGAGTATAGGGAACCAGCTTCCCTGGACTCCAGTGGACTCACATGTTGAAGAAGTTGCCGTGGCTAGCGAAGATCGTCCGGGAGTTGACATGAAACTGCAGAAGGGGCCCAAAGATGACCACTGCTGCCAACCAAGCGTGATAGAGGCGCCGTAAGCAGGGGCTGCCTAGGAGGCGCGCGGCTTGTTCACTTCCAAAATATAGTAAGGCAGAGGCCACCCAGAGCAGCGCCTTGACCAGGTACCCGAGCAGTGCTCGGACTCGGGTCCCGGCCCCCGGCCCTGCCCCCACCATCGGTCCCCGGTCCATGTTCCCTCCCCTCCCCACTAACTGCCTGCTCCGCTGGGAGGCTGAGGAGGGGCTAATACTGGTCCCCCTCGGACAAGGATAGGCAGTGACAGGTGTGGAAGACACAGGGCAGAGCCCTGCTGGCAGCTGGCAGGCAGGGAAGGGGGGCAGTAATGGGCCAGTTGGAGGGCTGACAGCATGGTCCTGGCCTTGGGTGTGTGGAAGTGTGTCCTGACACAGCCTCTGTCCTTTCCCGTTAGCTTTGAGTTCTCAGTTCCAGCCACATTCCAGTTCATGTCTCAGGACAAGGCCTGCTGCTCAGGGCTGTCCTGGTCCACACTCAGCTGGGGTCTGCTTGTCTTATTTTGGCCAGCTGAAGCCCATCTACCTTCATCTCAGCTCTACCTTTTTCCTTCCACAGGGAACCTTGGATGCCAGTGTTAGGCAGGGTTCTCTAGAGGAGCAGAGCAGATGGAATCCATCTGAATGAAAAGGGGGTTTTACTAGAGTGGCTTCCAGGCTGTGTCTGCCTCATGTCAACAATAACTATCTCCCTACAGAAAGGCTACCAGACAGGCAGTTCTTCAGGCCATGAGGCTGGGTGGCTGGTCTGGTCTTTGGTCTGTGGGAGTCCCCAAGAAGTAGGTTCTGACACCTGGGAAAGAACGCCTCAGCATCATCAGGATAGATACACTCACCAGGGAGAGTGACGGCAAGCCGGCGAAAGGCAAAAGCTTCCTTCTTCCACGTCCTTTAACTTGGGCTGCCACCAAACGGTTGGTGGTTCGTCTAACCCCAAAGATTCAGATTTGGGGTGAATCATCTTGCCTCAAATTAGCCAAACAAGACAAATTCCTCACAGGTGTGCCCAGCTGCTTCTGTTTTAGTTCATTCCAGATGTAGTCAAGTAGACAACCAAGATTAGCCATCATTGTAAGACATTAAAACAAACCAGCAGACTTTATCTTTCCCCTAAATGTGGGTCCTTCTCTTGGGCTCTGAGAGCAGTGAGGTGTGTACAGAGTTTGGTGTCATAGGCAGGTCATGGAAGTGGATTCACTGGGGTAGTCATAGTTATGGTGGCCCTAGCAGCTTAGCTAGGCTCCTGCTCGCACCCAGATGAAGATCTCTGAAAGGCCAGTTTGTCCCAGGATGGCTGTGCACATTGATGGTGGCAGAATACAGTGCTCAGGGCATGATCTAATGTGCTGCAGCTTGTGTTCATGATGAAAAGAATCAGTGGGTGAAATCCAGGTGCCTTGAGAAGGGCACTTGTATGGAGATGGTGGCCATGGCTGGGTGATCCCAGTCCTCCAAGGTGATGGGTAAAGAACCTAAGACAAAATTACCCAATCTGTTATCCATCAAACTTTTTTTTTTTTCGAGACAGGGTTTCTCTGCGGCTTTGGAGCCTGTCCTGGAACTAGCTTTGTAGACCAGGCTGGTCTCGAACTCACAGAGATCCGCCTGCCTCTGCCTCCTGAGTGCTGGGATTAAAGGCGTGCGCCACCACGGCCCGGCTATCCATCAAACTTTTTTTTTTTTTTTTTTTGGTTTTTTCGAGACAGGGTTTCTCTGTGGTTTTAGAGCCTGTCCTGGAACTAGTTCTTGTAGACCAGGCTGGTCTCGAACTCACGGAGATCCGCCTGCCTCTGCCTCCCGAGTGCTGGGATTAAAGGCGTGCGCCACCACCGCCCGGCTCCATCAAACTTTAAATATGGCTGGGTGGTGGTGGTGCACGCCTTTAATGCCAGTATTCATAGGCAAGTGTATCTGTGTGAGATGGATGCCAGCCTGGTCTACAGAGTGAGTTCCAGGACAACCAGGGTTATACAGAGAAACTCTGTCTCTAAACAACAACAACCAAATGAACAAACCAACAAAAGAACCCCCACCCCCCAAAAAAACTTGAAGTCAATTCTCTAGTAAATTACTCTGGGTCCCATGGTTGACACAAACCTGGCCTCTCAGACTGAGCCCTGGGCAGGACCTACCTATGAAGTACCTGTTACTGGGTAGCTGTTTCAAGGTGGCTTGTCACTTTCTTTCCTTATTCCATAAAGCTGGGGTTTCAGAGCAGTGGAGGCCCACAATGCAGTGAGAGGAATGAGTGAACAAGGACACCCAGGTTGTGCGCCCCACTGTGGTTGGGGAAAACCCACTAGCCCCCCTCTTCTTATTCATGCTACTGGGGATCAAACACAGTGCCTCAGGTATCCTAGTCAAGTACACTACCACTGAACTGTACCCCAGTATTCTAGTCAAGTACACTACCACTGAACTGTACCCCAGTATCCCCTAGCCAAGTACACTACCACTGAACTGCACCCCAGTATCCTCCTAGTCAAGTGCACTACCACTGAACTGTACCCCAGTATTCTAGTCAAGTACACTACCACCGAACTGTACCCCCAGTATTCTAGTCAAGTACACTACCACCGAACTGTACCCCCAGTAGCCTCCCTTCTTTTTCTCTCCTCCTCCTCCTCCTTTTATGGGGGCAGGGTCTCATGTTTCCCAGACTGGCCTCAAACTTTCTACATAACCAAAGAGACCCTGAACTTCTGATCCTCCTGATTCTTCCTCCTTCCTGAGGGTTGAGTGCTGGATAACAAGTATGTATCACTATGCACATTAAAAATTTTTTTAATTGCTCCTGTGTGTGTGTGTGTGTGTGTGTGTGTGAGAGAGAGAGAGAGAGAGAGAGAGAGAGATAGAGATAGATAGATAGATAGATGTGAGGATGGGGGCATACAGAGGACAACTTTTGGGAATCAGTTCTCTCCTTCCATTGGGTTCTGGGGATCAAACTCAAGTTTTCAGGAACACACAGCAAGCCCTTTAGCTCACTGGGTCATTTGGCCATCCCCCATACCCAGTTTAAAGGAGTACTGGAGGTGGGATCCAGAGAAACTGGGCTATGTCTCCAGCCCCTTTATTTCTTCCTGTTTCTCTTCTTTCTTAGAATCTTATCCCTAGCCCTGGCTATCCTCAAATTGTGACAGTTCTCCTACTTTAGCCTCCCAAGTGCACCACCACACCCAGTCCAATATGCTTTTAAGCTTTGAAGGTCTTTTGTTGGTCATTTATAACATCTTTGTAAAAAAATTTTTTTAATTTAGCTAAAAAATTTAAATCTGGGTGTGGTGGTGCACTCCGTTAGTTCCAGCCCTCTGGAAGCAGAGGCAGGCCAATCTCTGAGTTTGAGGCCAGCCTGGCCTATATAGTGATTTTCAGGACAGCCAGGCCTACATAGAGAAACTCTGTCTCAAATAACTAATAAATACATAAATAATAACAATAAAAACCAGACATGGTGTCATGTTTTTGTAATTACAGCACTCAGGAATTCAAAGCAGGAGGATCAACTCAAGTTCATTCCAGCCTGATATACCTAGTGAATTCCAGGCTAGCCTGGGCTACAGTGATGCTGTCTCAAAAACACTAAAACAGCAAAACCCCCAAACAAAAAGATCCCCAAGGCCGGGCGGTGGTGGCGCATGCCTTTAATCCCAGCACTCGGGAGGCAGAGGCAGGCGGATCTCTGTGAGTTCGAGACCAGCCTGGTCTACAAGAGCTAGTTCCAGGACAGGCTCCAAAACCACAGAGAAACTCTGTCTCGAAAAAAAAAAAAAAAGATCCCCAAACATCAAAACCAACAACAAACACTTCTAGAGAGCATAAGATGATAGCTATTTTTTCCTTCTGGAATTAAATTTCTGTTATAATTATTGTTTTTTTTTATTTTTTGAGACAGGGTTTCTCTGTAGTTTTAAAGCCTGTCCTGACAAATAATTTATTTATTTTTACTTTATGTGTACTGTATTGTAACTCTATTTTTTTTGTAACTCTATTTTTTTAAAAAAATTATTAATTATATATATAGTATTGGGCCTGCACTGTGCTTTTATGCCACAAGAGGGCACCAGATCTCATTGCAGATGGTTGTGAGCCACTATGTGGTTGTTGGGAATTGAACTCAGGACTCTGGAAGAATGGCCTGTGCGCTTAACCTCTGAGCTATCTCTCCATCCCATACTGTAACTATTAATAGTATTATTTATATTTGTTAATAACAAGACTGTACGGTAATGTCTCGAATGATATTCTGTGGGTCTTTGAAAATACTAACAATTTTTTCTTTAGATTTGGAACCCTGAAATATAGGTTCACCGTAGGGGTAAAATGACAGAGAAGGGCTTATCCTATTTAGAGTTTTCAAATTTACATAGCCTAGAGTCATCTCAGAGGAAAACCTCAGTCAAGAAATCACCTAGATCAGCTTGCCTGTGGACATGACTGTGGGGGATTGTCTTGATAATTAAAGCAGGAGGGCCCAGCTTACTTGGGGCAACCATTCCCTGTACAGGTGCTCCAGTTATGGAAGGCAGCTACATAAACCAGGTAACGAGCCAGTTCCGTCCCTCTGTGGCTCCTGCCTTACTTCTTCAGTGGTGGGCTGGCTGCTCCCTGGACTGTGAGCCAAGTAACTCTCCCCCCCCCCCCAAGCTACTTTTTGTTAGTGTTGTTTTAATTTATTTTATGCATGTTTTGCCTCATGTATGTTTCTGCAACACTTGTGTGCCTGGTGCCCATGGAGGCCAGGAAAAGGTGTTTGCTCTCTTAGGACTGGAGTTACAAGTGATTGTGAGCTTTGTGTGGGTGCTTAGAGAATTGAGCCCAGACAGTCTGGAAGAACAGCCTACACTCCTAACCACTGACCCCTGGTCAGAAGTTGAGCACAATAAAAATACAGTAGGCAAAGGAGCAAAAGGACAGACAAGATAAAACAAGTTCATTTTTTTTTGTTGTTGTTGTTTTGTTTTTTGGTATGGTTTTGTCTTGTTAAGCCCAGGCTGCCTTCAAAGTGCTCTGTAGCAAAGACCTTGACCTGTGAGCCTTCTCCTCTGCTTCCACCTCTTAAGCACTGAGATTAGAGGCAAATGCCCCCAAACCCAGTTAAATTTGGTGATGGGAAGTAACCCAGGGCTGCCTTCTCAGCTCTGGATAGTTTTCAATTA